GAAGGGCGAGGAAGGGCGAGGAAGGGCGAGGAAGGGCGAGGAAGGAGTGCAAAGGCACTTCTGCGCCCGCTTGCGCGGAGGGACATCTGCCTCCATAGATATCGCACCACCCGCGGCGACGCCCTCTTGTTTATGACGAACGCTTCATTTATGCTGGGCGCTACCGCTTCAGCACAGATGGCGATGGCGATGCGCAAGGGGAGAGGGCGGTGTGTTACTTTGCATTATTCGACATGCGATTCACCTTACGGCGAATCAACCCTCCCCCCCCTAAAAAAATAGTTGTATAAACAATTAAACCATCCCCTGCTGTCCCACTGACAAATTAAACATGGGAAATTTGTATATTCGCCTTCTTGGCCAAGAAGTGTGGAGATAACTTTCAAATTTACCACAAATGGCTCAATCGTGGACAGCATTTTTTTAAATTGAGAACGAGTGTCTGATTTTATAACGTTTTTTTACATACACCGAGTGTCCAACTACAAGAGGAATATTGGTTTCGTGATGAAGAGGGACAACTTGGATGTTACTTTCTGAAGTATCTACAAAGAGCATGTATTCATCTTTATCGTAGGTGTTATTAAAATTGCTCATCAATCCAAGAACGCCAGAACAACAGACCAGTAATCCTCTTCCCGAAAGTATTTAACATATTCATTTTTTCGATTTCCGTGCCAATAAAAATAGATTACTTTGACCAATAATATTTTTCTTTCAATCCGGAGCTCAATAATGCAGTTGCCTCTTCCGTAAGGCTTGGAAAAAATTATGACAAATATTCATAAAAATTCAACTAAAATTAAATTTTTGAAGAAAACGTGATATGATAGACTTTTTTATTATTTTTTGTAAATCAGCACCCCAAAATACATAATGTTCACCTATCAATGCCCTTGTGTTTTTATCGCGGGTCTGAGCGGGCAATTGCATAAAAAAATTAATATATCCATAACAGCTCAATTCATGTCTAAACACTTCAATACATTCTTCCAAACCTTGCCATCTTCTCTAGCCGTAAATAATTTCAGACTTTCAGTTAATTTCAGAAATTCTATATCAAAGGAGAATTCATTCCATTTTACCCAAGGATAAATTCAGACCACTTTAATAACCCATTTCCTCCTCTAATAACCTAATGATATTAATTCATAACCCTCTACCATCCTACAAACCACCAAAACCCTATAATCCGAAAATTGAAAATGAGAACATTAGGGAGAATCGCTTTGCTCTTAAGGTTAACGCTAAGTTAGTAATACATAATTATTGCCAAAAATCACTTGTAAAGCGTTAATTGGCTGTGTAATGAAATTGTTTATAAAACTAACAGCACGTACGTTCATGCTTTTAGTAATAGTTATGTAATACTATTTATGCCAAAATTTCTATCCGAATTAACACACATGATTCATCATTTATGTAAAAATAATTACAAATTAAATACTGGACAAAAAGAAACACGATGGATTCATTTTATGAACATTTTGAAATGCCCCAGGAGCTTCATGTAAATTACTCCCTCCCCCAAATTACAATATTGGTTTCAAGAGACCGCGACATCAGCCAGATCAATTGCGATATATCAGTTTTGGAGAAAATTAGTTGAACTGTTTAAACGTCAACGTTGTTCACAGATGGACAGACGTTTTGCCGTCAATAGAGTTTTCGGTATCAAGGACCCACACAAAACATGAATTCTGGCTACATCACGTGTTAAACGATTTTTTCTAATTTTAGCATACGGATTTATGCACTTTATCGTTTCTAGGGCCCTGTAATAAGAGTTTTTCTTTCGAAAATTAGAAGTTATTTCTCGCAGCATTACATACTTTTGCGAACTTCCACCTTAGATAAGCGAACTCTTAGTAAATGTTCAGAAATGATAATATTTTTTGTTTAATACAATACGTTCAATTCATACCTGTTTTGACTTCTGGCCACTATGTTTCAATAAGTATGAGAAGGAATAATAAAACTAAAGAGAAAATGTGAGATGAGAAACCAAAAATCAGAATCAGAAATGTTCATAATTATTGAAGACCTGGTCTTCCTACATATTGTAATTATCTTTATTTACTTCTCATTTCCCTGTTCATTCCTCAGCATACCTGTACAATGGTTCTCTGCCGTTCTCTCAGGTTCTCTACGATGCCCTCCCAAGCCTCATCTGTATCGTTCAGTACACGTTAGAGAACAATATAGTTAAAATACAAGATCAGTACCAATTACATTTTTGAAATGTTGGTCTTCGCCATTCTAAGATTCTTTCTACTACTAACACACGCGTTATATCTCTGCACTCACACATACACACTATACACATACATCTGCACATACTTCACTTTTATCACTAGCTCGCAATCTAAACTAATTCTGACCATCGCGTTCTAAACATTCGCCCGCGATCACAGTTCAAGCAATTCTGCTCCGACAATGCATAATACGCGCCGGTTACTTGTCTTTTTCGAATCACAGTATTTGTCTCAAAGCCGTTCCTTCTTCGTAAATCTTGCGTCTCTCCCCCCTGTGTTTAATGTCTGTGTCTCTCCTAATTGAATAATCACCTGTCTGCGTCTCACACTCTATACTCAATTATATCCGATCTCTCTGGATTCCCTATGTTCACGGAAGTTCCGCACGTGTCCATTATCGATTTATTACAAAAAAATTCACGCTTTCTTCCTCTTTTTATTATTCAACACTTCCCTTAGTTTTTCGTTGTTTACATATTTAAAGTACTGATAATGTTGATTTATATTGCTGTTGTTGAAACGTATTTTGATAACGCTTCTTTTTAATTATATTTTTTGGTATCCGAAATGACCCATCATACGTGGCACGAGTTTTATGGAACAGTATAGTTATAACTGACTAGACTATCGAAGTAAGCAGACCAGACATACCTGTATTTGATGAAATAACAAAAGCAGCAAATATTATTGATTTTGTAGCTACTACAGAGGTCAACCTAGTGACAAATTTTGCTGAGAAAAAAACTAAAATACCTGTTCCAGCTGTTGAGTTGAAGGTAGTGTGCAGACTGAAGGGAGAGAAGGTAGAAACTGTAATAGTATTACCAAACACTATAATCACGAAGAATTGGCTGAAGGATAGAAAAAGTTTGCAGCTACGAGAAAAACCTCCTAGAACTATACAGAACACTTTTCTGGGTACGGCGAGCATCACCAGGAAGTTTTTAAGTCTTTAATGAGTCAGAAAGAAGGATCAAGGAAGTGAATACATCGTTATAACCATAATTTTTGGAAGACTACACAGCGGTTGTTTACAACACAGTATAAGGAAGTACTTCACTGCAACTTCATATACTTCTAGAGAGAAAACCTGTACTTGGGCAGGAATTCTCCACATTTCTTCTGAAGGAAAAATAAGTAATAATAATAATAATAATAACATTAATAATAATAACAATATTAATAATAAAAAATAGAACTTAAACAATTAGAATTGAAAACGGTAATTCAAAAACAGGAATACATAAAGAAGGTCACAGGAATTATACTTTTCAAAGGAGTGATGGAAGGAATTGTACTTTTAGTTGCTTCTCCCAATAAATGAGTACCCCTTAGCTTAATTTTTCTTCAGAGAACGTAAAGCGTTTAAGAGTACGAAAATGTGTGTAGAGAAAAATGTCGATCAAAATCATGGATAAGAAATGAAATGCAAAGCAATTAATAATATGTAAATTGGAAATTCATAATATGTAAGACAAAAATATGAAATAAGTATCTACGTGGAGGATCGAAAAAATAAAGCATAAAAATTGGAATTAGACGGAGAAATAAGCTGTCATTTTTGTTGGATGGTTGTAAAGAAACGAGCAATGATGAACAGATGGATATCTGGAGAGGATGAGCCGAAATGTGGCGCGAAGCTTCACTCAGAGACGTTGCAAAGAGAAGTAACAGCAGGGACAGAAACTGAGCACAGGCGCGTAAGGAGGAAGGCGTTACGGCCGCGAGATAACAGAGTTCTTGGGCGAGCCGCAGCGTGGAAGAGCGCGACAAGTGGACTGGCGGGATAAGGGAAGGCCGGCAAGCTCGGCGGGCCGCTGGCAAGGCGGCGAGGTCAAGCGTAGAGGAGTCGCTTAAATTGTGCCGGGTAGAGCGAAGGGGGGGGGGAGGTCAGAAGGAGGGTAACAATGCACGACAGAAAGAAGCAGCCCGGCGCGGGGGCGGGCGGAGGGGGAGGGGAGGGCGTGACGGAAGGGAGGGCGTGTCGGGGCGGGCAGGCGGGGGCGGGCAGGGCGGGGAGGGCGGGGCAGGGCGGGGCAGGCGGGGCAGGGCGGGGCAGGGCGGGGCAGGCGGCGGGCGGGCGGGGCGGGGCGGGGCGGGGCGGGGCGGGGCGGAGACGTATCAGCGCGGGCAGGTCCCCGCAGTGCAGCGGCGAGAGCGCCCCCATACGTCGCCGCATTATCCTGTGGACCCGGACCTTTCGACGGAGGAGACTGGCCCGCGCTTATCGCACCGCGGCGCCGGGTGGGGATGAGGGGGTCGTCTCTGCCACGGCGGCTGCGCTGTGGGGCGAAACCGCCAAGTGCTGTGGAATTTCATCGCAAGAATGTCCACACCCCAAAAATATATCGAAATTTAGAACATGTGTAAATAGTTGTGTTCACTTTAATAATCTACAGGCAAACCTTTAAAAATAAAATCACTTTCGAAAAAAATAAAATATTAGAACACAAGTTTTCAAATAATTCATAGCTGACACTTGAGAACAATAAAGATTCATAATGTTAATAAAAAAATAAATCAAACCGTTTATTAAAAATCAATTGGTCACGATTTGCGGGACAAATAGTTAAATTTAAATAAAATGTCAGTGCATTGGAATCTGCCCAATTGTTAATTCTCCTCTATCATACTGCAATAAGATGTCTTATGAAACTTATTTCGTAAATAAGAAACTTAACACAAAATATGTAACGGGATAAATGAAAAAAGTGCACTAAAGATTTGCAACAAGATAAATTTTCATGTGCGATAAGAAACATGGCGATAATAACTTTTTTTGGGTGAATCAAGAGAGGCGGGCTAAAAGAAAATTGAATAGAAATTCATTGGTTCACTGAAATAAAACTGGGAAAGTATGAAAAGAGAAAGAAAAGTAATATTGACACAAACATATAAAACAGTGTTATGGACAGTAAAGAGTATATAAATCACGGAAACTCAGATAAAGAGGAGAGAGAAATAAAAACATCAATTTATTTTATGAGACACATAATAAATTATAATCGAAAAAGGATTAGAAAAATAAGTTGAAATCTTTGGCGATTCCAAGTCACAAGCTATCTTGCCAAGAGTTGGCCTTTTTTTTAGCATCAGCCTCTTTGCTTGAATACCTTGTGCATGAGGTATTCGCCAAAATCACCACCCAGAATAATCACATGGAAAACCATATAATTCAGCAAAGTCAAAAAAAATTGAACATTAAATACTCAAATACAAACTTTCAAAGTGATGATCTCAATGAATAGTCAAGAATATTTTATCACGAGATCTTGCCGTAGTAACGCAGGGTCTTTCAACTGTGTTCAAGCAAGCAGGTCTGAAGGTTGAGAATGTATGGGTTGGTTGGCTTCTGTACGCACTGGGTGAAAAATGTTTTATAACAATTCAGTATTCATATATTTTTGTTGTTTTATGTTTGAAAAATCTGTTAATATGAAACCCTTCTGGTTAGGCATATCTGAGTGAAACAATAGGACACGGTCGCAGCTTGCTCTAGGAATTTAAGTGGATGCAACACTATATAACTTAACGTCTCTTCCTTATACCATAGTATAGATCATGTGTATTTGAAAATGATAAAGTCCTTTCGTGGATGCACATCTATTGAACACGACTTAAAACATGCATGGGTTCACGTGAGGCGCGGCCACAAGAGTAAAGATTACAAAATTGTTTTATTGGGCCGGAGGCCGAAACTTTGAAGGGCAAGGCTGTCGAAAAAAGTACAACTGTTGGTGGGTACAGAATAGACTCCTGGCGATGGCGTTGCCTCGACGTTGTCTGGCGTGGTCACTGCAGGCTTGTAAAGCGGATATGACTGCAGGCGGAGGCTGCTTCTGGTTGGGGAAGTTGCCGGGTTTACACGATGCCATTGGGAGGCCGGACGGCGGCATGGTTTGTTAGGAAGCTTCGTCGCCTGGATGCAGCACGATAATTCTGCGCCCCTCTCACCGCTACCAGAATTGCTGTCGCGCGTATTTTAAAAGTCCGGTACGTACACGGAAATTGGGAAGAAGAATATTGGAATCACCTCAATTACACGATCTCTTATATTCAGTCATAAAATAGGGTTTCAGGTTTTATAGAGCTGTAACCTCGCACAAACTACGCCAAAATTTAGGCGTATAAGTTATATTTTAACGATTGAGAGTGATGCACACCGCATAGTGATGCCCGTAGTTATGTACTCGAAAATCAGGATGTTTGTGTGGATGATGTAAGAATAACACTTTCAGATTAGAAGCTGTTGGGCTGAAAGTTGGTAAATAGGTCAGGAGGAAGATTTGATTGAGATGATTAACATACTTCATTTTTGGGGGTACCCCATGAAGCCCCTTTAACAATATCAGAATATTTTAGAAAATAATGATAAGTTGTTTTTAATACAGATTTTTGTACTTTCATTTTTGCTCGAATATAAGAAAGTGCATTTATAAATACGGTTCAGTTTCCACTTTTAATAAAATCTCTCAAATTTTAAATATTACAAAAGTTCAAATTTGTATTCGAAACTGACTTAATTTCCAATACTTCAATACATTCCCAAAGCCAGATATGTCTTTCCCCGGACAATTCATCTCTCAATTTCAGACCTGTGGGTGATTTAAAAAACAGTAGTTGAGTTACAGCAGCGCTGAGAGAAGAAATGTGTTCAGTATGCCGCGTTTTCCCATCTCTTCTCCATCCAACTTGATCGCCGGCCTTTGACCGGTCGTACGTCTCGTTCCCCTGCAGTCCAGCGCGTTTCGTCGACCTTCGGGCCCACTGCCGCAGGGAGCCGGTCGGGAGGTGGTGGCCGCCGCCGCCGGTATCTCGTCGCCCTGGGGCGCGCGGGCGAAGCGCAACTTGGCCGCGCCGCGGGAGGGTCGCATTCGCGCGGAGCTCCCCAAGGGCCGCGCGGGCGCCCTGCGGGTCGCGCGAGACGCGGGCCGCGCCGCCCCGGTTCAGTCGCGCGGTAATTAAGCGGCGCTCGCGGAGCTGAGGCGCCTTCTATCGGATTCGCCGCGCGCGGGATAAAACGAACACGCGGCCGGCGGAGGTGGCTCAGGGCACCAAGTGCCTGTGACCGGGAGATCCTAGAAGTTGAGTTCCGACGGTGACTGCGTTTCCGACATTGGCTAGATACCTAGGACGATTTCAGAATCTCTGGAGGAGAATTCGGCCACTCTGGTCAATAGTTTCCTGGGGTTTCTCTAAACAATACGAGCGAATGCCGGAGCAGAACCCCAACAATCGGGCGACGGACCGCGTGCAATCTTCCCTTACTCTTTCTTGCCGTATTCTCCCTCACCTTACACACACACACACACACTTATACCCACTAAACTCTCACACAAGTCGAGAAACCGGTCGGGAACTTAAAAGCTTGTCCTGGCTGCGGTGCGCCCCAAAACGAAATAATTAATCACAGCGCAGTCATCAGATGCTCAAAAGGGGACAAATCCAGGAAAAAATACTGGAAGTTCTTTTTTTCAACTGTTATACAGGTATTTTTTGGTTGGGTGCTGCATTCAAATTCCATGTTTGCGACCTTAAAAAGGTCGGCTACTCACAGAGCGTGGCACCAAAAAAATCAAATGCACTTTTCCCAGTTTTTAGCTCATATCTCAAAAACTGCTCGTTATTAAAACAACCACAAAGTGAAACTTGACAATGTATCTTTAATTGTGTTACAAACTGTTTAGGCATTAGAGCACACCGAAAACTAGTAATATTTTGGATCTCTGGTCAAAACAGGAGAGTAGCTCAATTTCGCCGTTCTTCCTCGCGGTGGTAGAATCAACAGGGAAGTTTTAACTTTATTATATTACTTCTCTCCTCTCCCCTAACTGAAGCTGTAGCTCATCAACACAGTTGCCAAACACGGAACGCCGAACACCAAAAGCCGAACGCCAAACACGGAACACCGAACACCAATAGCCGATCGCCAAACACGGAACACCGAACACCAAAACCCGAACGCCAAAGGCCAAACCTCAAACGCCGAACGTCAAACGTGAACGTTCTCCTCAACGATGTTCGTGGTCTCAGAAATGTGCTTACTACTACTAAAAAGACTGATTTCATAAGACAGGAGGTTTAACAATAACCAAATGTTATTGGCCACTTACAGAAGTCAAAGTGTACGTTTGCATAACAAAGCGCAATCGAGTTGTGCGGATGGTCACTACTTTAAACTGAGAGAGCGAATGTAACACTGTCGGCCTTAAGTACTGCAGCAAGAGGTGTACACTTTATTATTGTCAATAACAATAATTGAATAATTGGATGTTAAAATTAATTGACTAACGCTTAAGACAAGTTCTGTAATTGTAATTTTACGAAAATGAATTGGAGACTCGTATTTGTAGAAACATCGAAATATGACCAGGAATGAATGAAAAATTCAATGGCTAACTTAGAAAATTAATAACGTTATATTTCCAGTAAGATGACACCATTCATTGAAATGTTCTTAACCGCATTACACAAACCATTTCAATACCGTAACAATATTTTTGTTTCTTTAACCATTTATCACAAATATAGGACATGTTTCGGTTGGATGTTTAGGTAGCGTTTTGACACAATTTTTAGCATGAGTAAATAAAGTATGTATTATCTCGCAGTACGACAAAAAACAAATGGTAGTTTTCTACAATTGCTACTTTTCCTGGTAATAAAAAGTTAATTGAATAGGTTTCTTGAGATAGTTCTCTAGTCATAAGACAAAGTTTGCCGGGCTTTGTAAATAAAATCAATACAACAAACTCGTTTACAAAAATACAATCTACCTACGCTTTATTACTCAACGCAATCAATTAGTTAAAGACTGATTAAAAGTTGTATTTCTTTACAATAAGATGAACATTTCTGTTGCACTTTCTTGTATGTCTTATAGAACAATAAAGCTCTATGAATCATGCCCATCAATTCTATATCAAGTGCTAGAAATTAAATTTTCAGTCAGTCAAACGCTTCTCTCAAATGCTGTAAGAGATAAACGATTTATAGAAAATCAACTTTTAATATTTTGGAGAAGTAAAAAATTATGAAACACTTTCGAAACTGTAATTTTATACTATGTAAATGCATTATATTTTAAAATTAAATAGGCAACTGAATACCTATGATCATATTTAGAGGGTTACAAGTGCAGCTCGAAAACTTATAAAGTGCTGAGAAACCATCTCTCAT